GGTTTGATTCCTAGACAAGGCACCTCATGTGTGCCCACCATTCACCTCTCTGTCTGAGGAGATTTGCAAGCTCCGGGGATGCTGAACTATGCACATCCATGATAGCAGCACCCAGGAAGGTAAAACACATGCTGCACTGGGCAAGCTTGTTGTCATGGATCTTTTTGAAACACTATTTTAAGAAGGAAGAGGTCCATTTAAAAGCTAAGGTGAGCCTCATCCAAGCCATGGTATTTTCAACTGCATGGTATGCATGTGAAAGTTGGACAAGGAGTAAGGAAGAACAAAATAGAATTGATGCCTTTGAATTGAGGTGTTGTGAAGCCTGCTGAATATTTCACGAACTAGGAAGAGAACAAACGTACTTTGCAGGAGTTGTAACCAGAGTGCTCCTTATACTCAAAGGTTTCCTCTTCTATAGTTTGGGCATATTGTCAGGAGGGGCCAAACCTTAGAAAAAACACATCAACACTGAGAAAGGTGGAGAGTCAGTGAAAGAGGGGGAGGCCCTGGATGAGAAGGACGGATGCAGTGACTGCAGCAGTGGGCACAAGTGTGTCAGAGATGATGAGGACGGCACAGGACAGGACAGAGGTCAGACCCCTGTGGGTTGCTATGAGCTGTACTTGTCTAAATGGCACCTGACAACAAAACAATTTATCGTTCAGTTTTCACATGTGTAAGAGGCAATTGAAAATAGCTGGCTTAGGCGAGGCTCTCCTTCTCCTGAGTCCTCAGAGTGACCTCTTTCCTTGCAAACACTCTTTGTTTAACACTTTAAGGAGCATTTTTGCCCAATGCAAATGGAGAAAATATTGAAGCTGTGATTTTTCTCGGATCCATAATCAACACTCTTTGATGCAGCAGATAAGACATTCACAGTGTATTGCATCGGGCAAATCTAACAGTTATTGTTGCCACTGATTTGGAACCGACTCATAGCTGACCCTCCAGAGGGGTTTCAGAGCCAGTAAGTCACATGGGAGAAGATTGTCCATCTTTCTCCCACGGAGCAGGTGGTGGGTTCGAAGCCTGTGCCTTGGGGTTGGCAGCAGACACCCTGAATATTCCATCCTCTAGAAAACATAATTATTTTCAAGATAGCCTCACCCAAACCAACAACAACAACAACAACAACAAAACCCACCAAAAAACAACCAAAAAGCCCACGGAAGCATGGGTGTGGTGTGCTGACTTTGTATTTTCTTCTTCTACTTGGAAATAAACGTGTGGTTCTCCGGATTACAGTCAACCCGGGGTCCACCTGGCACAGGGCCAGCAAGGGGTGGCTCCCAGCATGATGCCGACACACCCAGGCCCTTCTTCCCATCAGCTGGAGGCTCAAAGCTGCCCTGGCAGAGGCAGAGGAAGGAGCCAGCTGTGTTGAGGCAGGACCCAGAGCCGCACACCTGCCCCCCCAGGGCGGTGCACTCACCCACATCCAGGCAGACTCCACGGTGGGGAGGAAGCGTGCTGTCAACCCTAAGGTTGAATCCTTGGGTTTGAATCAACCCTTAGGTTTGAATCCACCAGCTGCTCCATGGGTGAAGGATGGGCCACCTCCTCTCA